TAAATGTTATAAAATTAATTAATTCGTTTACATTCATTCATTTTCTTTTTTTATCACAAGTTTACTTTCTTCTACTCTTTACATTTTTTTGTCTGAAATAGAAACTTGTACAACCGAGTTTCATGATGACAATTTTGAATAGGGAAAACGCGCGGTATTGATATGTATAGTTGCTAACCTTATTTTATTAAGCGCGTAGGCTATACATTTTCAATTTTCTTCCGTAAGCTTCTTTTCTTCTTTCTTTTAAACTTCCTTTTTTTTATACTCAAATTTAAGACAATTTAATTAATCAAGGTTTAGACTAAAAGTTTCCCGAACTATTGGACTTTAGAGTCTAGGTTCAAATATCTAGTTAATAATTATTATTAACTATTTTTTTTACTATGTTATATCTTCGGACGTAACAATACTATTTAACCCCCATACGGTTTTACCCGAGCATGCTCGGGATGTATCTTTCGTTTATTTATTTAAAAAAATTTAATTCGAGAGTCATATAAATAAAACACTCAGTGTAATTTAAAGCTAAACATAGAAACCGTTTTTTCCAAAATGCTTTTTGGACCTTGTTTTACATTTCGTGGAAAGAATTTTAAAAACTTTTTGAAGCAAATTTAGTTACTTATCGCAGCTGTGGTCTTCTTAAAGGTACCTTTTCTTTGGGGAGCAACTTTTCTTGAAATCTACCGAATCGATTTCAGAAAACCGATTCGATTCCTTATATAAAATGTTAGGTAGTAAACCTTTAAGATTTCTCATTTGTACTCTCTGTTTTTAATGTGGGATCCGGAATCCGGAATGTGGAATGTGAAATCCGAAATGTGGAATGTGGATTCCGGAATGTGAAATGTGGAATATGAAATGTGGAATCCGGAATGTGCAATCTGAAATGTAAAATTCGGAATGTGGAATCTCAAATTTGGAATGTGGAATCCGGGATGTGGAATATGGAGTCCGGAATGTGAAATGTTGAATCCGGAATGTGGAATTTGAAATCCGGAATATGGAATTTGGAATGTGTAATTTTGAATCCGAAATGTGGAATTTGGAATTTAGAATGTGGAATCCGGAATGGGGATTTTGAAATCCAGAATGTGGAATGTGGAATCCGGAATGTGGAATTTGGAATGTGGATTACCTGTGGATTAACCTCATTTAGAGAAATAAAGTTAACAATAATTTCTCAAATATTAACAACAATAGTAAGACACCCGTTATAGTACGTAACAGTGTCTGACATAAAAGAAGTGGAGGCGTTTCAATTTCAAACAGAATTTTAGGTAATTTATGGATGGACTCTAACGATACATATATGTATAAGGTTTAAACGCGTTTTTTCTCAAAATAACGTTTTGTCAAATTGCGGACACTTTATATCGGAATCTACTGAACCGATTTTAATAAATAATAGGTCGTTTTGTTTGTTAGCATGTCCTGTATGTGAATTCACTAGAAAATAGTCAAAAAAATTTTGCAGACTAGAAAAATAGTGAAAAACATAGTGTATTTTGAAAAAAATTATTGAAACAACTGCTATTTTTTATTTTAGTCGATTTTTCATTAATTGTGGTGGATTTATATGCAAGACACCTTCCTTTTTTAAAAGCAGTTTGATTTTGAGTTTCCGATTTGTCAATCTTGAGATAAACTGTCAATAATTGGACAATTAACTTTTTGAAGATTCGAACTGGATGCTGTCTGCAGATTATTATATTAAATAAAAATTAAAAACAACCATTATTTTTATTCTCCAAATATGTACTAAGATAGGCAAAAATTTTTTTACATATTTATAACAAAACAGCTAAGAAATCTTTTTTTTAAATTTAGTATTTTAAGAGCCTTTTAAAGTGTAGTAGTAAGGCTATGTCCAAGTTGTGAAATGTAAACATACCAAAAGGTAAACAAACCAAGTACTTAAATCTCACTTTTGTATTACCTTTACTATAGACCGAATAGTGACAAATTTTTTGCGCTTCTCATTTGCGTAAATAAATATAAATTCACATTTTCTTTATGGAAATAGTGAACTGACGTATTGAATTTGGTAACTATACCTTGCATAGCTGAAAGCATGAGAAAACAACTAAGTTTCATTCAAAACAAAATGTGCACTTCCACATGGTGCTGTCAATGCATTCTTAGTACGGTCTGCGCATGCGCAGAGAGCAACAGAGTTTACGTCGCGAAAAATTAAAGTGTTTGACTATATCAACCGCACGGACGATGAAGAAGTTTTTACCCTTTCCCCTTGTAATAACACGGAGGAAAGGGAAAAATTTTCTTTTCCACATCCCAGTGAGAAATTGCCAATAGACTTTAATCGGTCCAATATCGGTCCAATATTGGTTGCCGTGCTGGGCGCCGATTGACTCCCAATATTGGACCAATATGGGCTGATGCTTGGGATGTAACGGCATCGCCAATCAACGGTTGTCAATATTGGTCCAATATTGGCCGAATATTGGCAACCAAGAGAAAAAAATTTTTTTAAATAAATTTTTTTTAATTAAATAATAATAATAAAAAATTAATGTTTATAATTTTTGTTTAATATATTTATTTGTTTAATTATTTATTTTTAATAATTCATGTAAATAATAAATAATTTATTATTTATAAATTATAATTATTTAAAAATGCAGCAGCTATTAGAAAATAGCATTCTGCAAAAAAATTCTATCATTGAAAAATCAATGATAGGCGAGAGAAATCCGCGTCTTTAAATAGATTCGCAGATGATAGACAAGAGATATCCGCGTCATTAAACGGATTCGCAGATATACTCTGGTCTCGCGACGAATCTCTCGATACTTATATACACTGGAGTCGCCGTGTCAGTTGCGAGAACGGTTACAGCGTCCCTCTTTCGGCGGAGATAAGAATTGTCACGTAAACTGCGGGTATAATAAGGCGGTCGGTAAAGCGATTTAGCAGTTTACGTGTCAATTCTTATCTCCGCCGAAAGAGGGACGCTGTAACCGTTCTCGCAACTGACACGGCGACTCCAGTGTATATAAGTATCGAGAGATTCGTCGCGAGACCAGAGTATATCTGCGAATCCGTTTAATGACGCGGATATCTCTTGTCTATCATCTGCGAATCTATTTAAAGACGCGGATTTCTCTCGCCTATCATTGATTTTTCAATGATAGAATTTTTTTGCAGAATGCTATTTTCTAATAGCTGCTGCATTTTTAAATAATTATAATTTATAAATAATAAATTATTTATTATTTACATGAATTATTAAAAATAAATAATTAAACAAATAAATATATTAAACAAAAATTATAAACATTAATTTTTTATTATTATTATTTAATTAAAAAAAATTTATTTAAAAAAATTTTTTTCTCTTGGTTGCCAATATTCGGCCAATATTGGACCAATATTGACAACCGATGATTGGCGATGCCGTTACATCCCAAGCATCAGCCCATATTGGTCCAATATTGGGAGCCTTTATTGGACCGATGATCGGTCTCTTGGCTCCCAATATTGGACCGATATTGGACCGGTGAGAAATTTCTCACTGGGATGTTGAACGTCCATTCGCTTTATTTTTCGCGACGCGTCAAAAATGACATTTTATAGGTCATTTTAATTAGTTATTTTACTAATTGCTTTTTATTGCTTTTTATTTATTTATTTTTTAAAATTTTTTTTTAATTATTTCATTGGAAACTTTGACACGCTAATTTTTCATTTTCGTAAAGAAAGTGTAAAAATGTTAATTTTTGTAGGAAAAACAGATGTTACAAAAGTGCGATTTTTGTGTTTGGTTTGTTTACATAAGTATGATTGAAGAACCCACATTGAAAAAAAATTGAAAATAAATCTCTAGATTGAAAAAAGCCGTAATGACATTTTTATTCTATCATGTTTAAAAACTTAATATTTTCTAATGTTTTATACAATTTGATGTATAATATATAGTATTTAATATATTTTATAATAAAAAAATCATTATAAACAAAAAATCTAAACAATACAAAAATAATTAAAAAGAGTGGTGCAGAATAAGTTAGTTCCACGTGGTGCACCTTCAAAAAGTTTAAATCCGACCAAATACTGGCATTAATTTATATGTTAAGGCGCGCGCGCCTTTTCTATTTCGCGAAAATTGATCATATAAAACAAAATTAAATGTGTATAACTTTGAAATAGGAGCAGCTAGGATTTCATTCTAAACGGCTTTTTTACTTGAGATTATAAACAAATGCAACCCTACTTTCAGTTTTTCTTGACGTTTTTGTCCATATATACATTAAATTAATTTTGGTACTCAAACCCTTCTATACCGATTAATTCGTACTCTCAATTCTAAAATATTGATATAAGCAGATTTACATTCGAGCAAGAAATCGCTCGGAAAAATCGAAAAAACAAGAATCTCGTAAAAAAACCGCTGCCAAGTTGTATATTTTTAAATAATTTTGGTGCTCATTTCATGAACCCTTTGTTTCCTCATAGAGATAATAATATAATAGAAATATATGAATAACTTTTTATAAATATGGTAAAAGTGATTGAATCTTGGGTCAATAAATGTCTTCTTAAATACCCTACAAGATAGTTATAATAGTTTAATAGTTAAACAAAAATTTTCAAATAAAAAGTTGAGAAAATGTTATTTTCCACATTCTACATTTTTCAAGTAAATTTTCAAAAAAGTCTTATTTTCCAAAATTTTTGATCTTCAAAAGTTTAATAACTCCGGTTAATATGGACGAAAAATGTTCAATTAGGGCTCAAAAGATGCGCCTAAAAAAACTCTACAAAATTATGAAAAAACATTCATAGGTGTCCTAACATTTTTTAAAGTTATTGTCAAAAAACGTTTTTTTTACAAAACTAGCTGTAAGGAAAAAGAGGGAAAATATTACATTAAAATAAAAACGGGGCAAGAATCTTAAAAAATTCAATACGTAATTTATGAATGACCACTAAAAACATATTAATTAAAATTTTTATGCATATTAAACGATATTTACCCTAAACAGGAAAATTCCTTTGCCTTGACTTTGGCCCACGGGTTTGTAGATCCAAATTCTTTCATCTGTTTCTAAAAGACTACATTTAGATGCTAATCTTGTATATTCTGAAGGTAGATTATATCCTATGGGACTGCAATAATTATTATTTACAATAGTTGTGCATTTTAGGTTGATGAAAATGAAAGTTTACATAATAGCTATCCCATGTAAAATAGTCGAATGTCGAAAGTCTGATGGTTTAAAAGATTAAAAAAATATTGAAATAACAATTTTTTATATTTTTTAAACCACTAGACTTTCCGAAGCCTTTTTTCATTGGGATCATACAACATAATGTTAAATCAACATGTAAAAAATTATATTATACAATATCAGAAATAAAAAATGCACACAAAAAATCGACGCCTCCCGTTCGCATGTTAGTTTTTGAATTTTAAGTTAAACTGTTTTTTGATTAATAATTAAATTCTAAATTATTTTGTCAATATATACCAAAATTAGTAATAGTATACATAAATTTTTAAAGAGATTATAAATCTTTCGACTGCAGAAATTATTACTAAGAAATCTTTCATAAACCACTTAGATGTTTTGGAGTAGGGGGTTTAGTAAATCTCTACGGTAGGCTATTTGGGAAAGGGGAGGGGTTCAAGTCATGACTACGTGGTCATGATTTAAAACTCTTCCCTAAAAAGCGCCTTTGGAATATGTAGATTTTTAGCAAAATATTTAGAAAGTTTAAATGTTAAAAATTTACTATGTTACTTACAATTTTCGAATAAACACAAATATATTTCTCGTTTTTTGTACCCAGAAAAATGTGTAATTGTTATATGCAAAAAATAAAAAGATTAACGATTGTGTTTTAACTCATTTCCTTTTTATGGACACCTATTAATTCTGCAATAGCAATACATTTTAAACTCAGTTAAGAAAATTACGTTCTATTAGGGTAGAGGGAAGGGTTAGAGTGAAGGTCTATTTTGGTCCACATTGGAGCAGAAGGATCAAAAAGTGACAAAAATAGAGCTACGTGGTTCATGGATGACCCAAAAAAAAAATATATATATATATATAGGGCGGGCGCTACCATTAAGGTGAACTAGGCGACTGCCTCGGGCGGCAAAATCTGAGAGGTGGCAAAATCAGTCTTTAACCTTTATGGAACTGAGGAAGAAAACACCTTCTATGGACGGACGAGGTACCCAGGTACCTATGTTTAATTTGTTAACGATTTCTTATGGATATTATTATTTAACTATAGTAACTAAATTTACATATTTTATAAAAAATGATGTGCAGTACTATAAAAATTGTTAACCCTTTGCGTCACAGTGGGTCGCTCAGCGACCCACCTTTTCCTTCTCAGTTTTCAGTATTTCTATGGCATATTTATTAATAAATTTAGGGTTTTTTTTCCGGGCATGTTCCTCATACCTAAACAAGCCTAAGAAAACTGTTGATTCACAATTTGTTAATAATAAAAATATTATAAACAAATAAATAACAAAAAATAATGCTTCTTTTTCAGAAAAAATTCATTTTCTACTTATCCTTACTAATTTTTGAGATGATAATTTTTTTTCTTTACAAATTAGATCCTAAACTATATTTACAATTACTTTTTTGAAATTTTTTTTTATAATTTTTAATAATAAATAACAATTTTTTGTAATATTTTATGAAATAAAAGTATTTCAGATGAAATTTTAAACCTATTTTCATAAAACTCGTTACACGGGGGTTTTTGGTGTCGCTAAATACGAATCTAGCATCAGATTTTTAAAATTCAAAATGGCGGATCCAATATGGCGGACGCGAAAATTAAAAATGAACTGAATTTGCTTGAAACTGGTTACTCAGATGTTTTTGGGGTCTCTGAATACGAATCTGGCATCAGATTTTTAAAATTCAAAATGGCGGATCCAATATGGCGGACGCGAAAATTAAAAATAAACTGAATTTGCTTGGAACTGGTTACTCGGGGGTTTTTGGGGTCACTGAATACGAATCTGGCATCAGATTTTTAAAATTCAAAATAGCGGATCCAATATAGCGGACGCGAAAATTAAAAATGAACTGAATTTGCTTGAAACTGGTTACTCAGGGGTATTTGGGGTCTCTGAATACGAATCTGGCATCAGATTTTTAAAATTCAAAATGGCGGATCCAATATGGCGGACGCGAAAATTAAAAATAAACTGAATTTGCTTGGAACTGGTTACTCGGGGGTTTTTGGGGTCGCTGAATACGAATCTGGCATCAGATTTTTAAAATTCAAAATGGCAGATCCAATATGGCGGACGCGAAAATTAAAAATAAACTTAATTTGCTTGAAACTGGTTACTCAGGGGTTTTTGGGGTCTCTGAATACGAATCTGGCATCAGATTTTTAAAATTCAAAATGGCGGATCCAATATGGCGGACGCAAAAATTAAAAATAAACTGAATTTGCTTGGAACTGGTTACTCGGGGGTTTTTTTGGGTCGCTGAATACGAATCTGGCATCAGATTTTTAAAATTCAAAATGGCGGATCCAATATGGCGGACGCGAAAATTAAAAATAAACTGAATTAGCTTGAAACTGGTTATTTTTTTTTGTGCATATGGGATAAAAATACTATTAGGTAATACGCAACTTTTGATTCTAGTTTGGATGTTGTATCTATATAATAGTACAGTTATTATTGGAATTTTAATTTTTGACTTGCTCTGTAAAAAACATTTTGACGAACTTTTGAAACATATTAAAGCTTGTTTAAGTGAACGGTAAATAAAAGGTAATGTTTGTAAGGAGAAAACTATATTTAATATGCATACAATGCTAACTTTTGAAAAATGTCCTAAATTTAAAAATTATCATAGCTTTTAGAAAAATTGGTTTTTTGGGGGTTAAAAAGCCAAGGAAAAAAATTCATTGAATATTATGTGAAATTCATTTGTTTTCTATTTATATTAACCTTCTAGTTTCTCAAAATTTTTCGTGTTTACTTTATAAAATTAGTTAAACAAGACGAAAAAATAGTTCAAGGTGCACTAAAAAATAAACAACAAATAAACATTTACAACAAAATATGGTATCTATAGTAAAACGTAAGGAGGACTTTTAGCAAAGGTACGGAAAATTGGCACTGTAAATCGTAAACAGGTAAATTTAACATAATATTCATATAGGCTTACTACAAACTCTGTAAAATTTAGTAAAATATTAAAGATAAGATTATATCCCATACAGATAAAGAAAAACTATAAAAATACCAAAATTAATAACATATTTTCCTAAAATCGCGAGGGGGCTTTTTCCATCCACTAGGAGGTGCAAAGAAGCCACTTGGAGTGCTTTCGTAAAGCTCTTGTAACTTAGTCAAATTGTTTAATAAAATAAGAGTCCTGTTTGTAAATATTATTTAAACCTTGAACAGTGTCCACTGCTGCTACCTCTCGATTTATATCGATGAACACGCTTAAATTGCTTTCTCTTAAAATTGCTTGCGCACTCAAAAGTGTATCATTTACGTACTTTTTGACCATTGAATCTAAGCTTTTAATATCGTTAAATACAACATCGTTTGATACTTGGCATTAGGCTCTCATTCTTAGTAACATTAAACCAAAACTCATTTTTGGAATATTTGGTTCATCTACGTCTTTGTCTCCATGAGAATCACCACTGCTATTATTAACACTACTGTAAAAACTAAGATCTTAATTCTCTACAAAGCTCGATTCAGTGTGATTACAATAGAAATTATAATTAACTTCATTCTTAACATTAATACTCCCGCTATTAATGCTGCTTTCATCAGAGATAACACTTATCTCTTCTGTTTTACTATTTTCATTGTTAAAATATTTTTCTTCTTTATTTAAATTACTTTTATTTCTTTTATCAGTGCAACGTGAATGAAAGTGTTGTCTTCATCTTTGAGATATAAGAGAATTTAGATTTCGAAACACTTTTTTACAACCTTATATGTTACAAGTAATCTGAAAATCTGAATGATTGCTGTTGGTTTGTCGCAAGTGAGATTCCAAATTTTGCTTCTAAAACTCTTGGTAACAATAGTGACATTTCCGTCTTTAATTAAGACATTTCCGTCTGAACTATGAAATTCCAAACTTTATAAAAATAATTTTTCCTCCATCGAAGCTCTTAATTTGTTATAAAAAATAATTATTTATTATAAACAAATTAAAAATAAAACGTGTTCTGGATAACCATATTCAATTTTATAAATAAGAACTTTAAGAGAATTTATTAAGGATTGCATATCAAAAAGAAAAAATTGATTCAAGCAAATATTTTATTAATTATGAATATTTTTGTAAGCGCGCGCAAGCTCCGTGATGTGGTCTCCCGCGTCTGACGAATGTCGTGTGCCCCGCTTTGCACGCTTTAACTTGTTTATTTTGGAAGGTTTTCTTTCATAATTTTTTTCAAATTTGGTTTGTATGTTTTGAACTAAAATTCAATTGGAATACTTGTTTATAATAAAATTAGTAATATATTATTTTATTTATATAAATTTATTTATGTAATCTATTTTAAGTTTATTGTTTAATTGTTTTCAGTGGAATATTTCTTGCTTCCAGAAAAACAAGTTTTAACTAATTTTTTTGTATTATATAATTTAAAAATATTTTTAATTTACTTGTAAACTTCCGTACCTATTAAAATTAAAAAGTAGTAATACAATATATTTTACTACTAAGTAGATTGAAATTTTTATGAGTGTTTTAATGCAATCTGCTCGGTAAGCATAATGTGGTAAAATTTTGTTCAAAATTACGTGAAAGTAAAAAAAAAATTTTACTTAAACTAAAAGAACTTTTAAAAAATTTATTTTATACAATATAAATTACAATATAATTTTTGTATAAAATAAATTTTTTAAAAGTTCTTTCAGTTTGAGTAAAATTTTTTTTTACTTTTACGTAATTTTGAACAAAATTTTACCACATTATGCTTACCGAGGAAATTGCCTTAAAACCCTCATAAAAAATTTTAGTCTGTTTAGTATTAAAATATATTGTATTACTACTTTTTATTTTTAATAGGTACGAAAGTTTACAAGTAAATATATAAAATTATAGAATTAAAAAAAATTAGTTAAAACATGTTTTTTTCGA